ACACCTTATAGCCCTGTTTCAGAGGTTATGGTAAAATGTTAATGCGATTTGGTTTTAAAAGGAGGTAATTAGGGAATTTATAAAGCTAATAATTACGAGTTTCTATCAGAAGAGGTCATAACAAGACTTTTTATTGAGAGAAATCTTTAAATTTTAAATTAAAGCTAAAAATCTAGAGCCAAAGCTTGAACCTGACTGCTGCTAAACAATCTCAAGTCGAAGTCTCAGTCCTAAGTTCAAAATCCAAATCCGATTTTCACCTTTCATTAACTGATAAACCGAAAATGATATATGGCCCGTGTTCACAGATTTGTGAACCTATAAGTTCCAGGAGACCACAGGAGAAATTGCTATTTGGGAATGGGTTACCTGTGGACAGGTGTCTTGGATTTGTAGGCAAACGTTCGGTTGCCATTCTGCCTGCCATTGGTCTTCCCTAAAAACATGGCTACCGGCATTTTGCCAATTTTCTTGCAACAGCCGCTTTTGGCCAGCCCATTGATGTGACAAAGTGCGTTGTCCTTGGGCTCCGGGTAAGGGTCCTGGGTACGGATTCGAGTCTCGTTGTGCCGGTTTCCGGATCTTATCGTTTAATATGCACACTTGATGCCAGGTACTTACGGTCACTTGTCCATTGGGCGTCTCTGGTGGCTCCCAAGTAATAACCATGGTGGACGAGCTCAGCGTGCGCACTTGAACATTACGTGGGGCGCTCTCCATTTCTACGAGGCAGAAAAATGAAAGAAAAAAGTAAGAAGAATATTAGCATTACTATGGTTAGGAATAAGGACAGTTGAGTAAGTTGACCGCACTCCCTAATTTCCTCAGAGAGTGCCTGAAAAATTCCTTCCTAACTGATTTTAAAGTCCAACTAATGAGCTTTTCTTGCATTAACAATATTTTACCTTTTATTGGAGTTTATAGCCAATATCAATATTAAATGTGTTTTGAATTTATCGCCCCCAATTGGCTTCCTGATGCCCAATATTCTCTTCCCATCTCCACGGCCAACACAATTCATAAATATGCAATTTTGTTAAATGATTTTTGGGACGAGCAGCGAATACCACGACAAACAAATGCCATTATCGAGAAACTAGAGAAGCCAAGTGAACGATAAAATTGGGGGGTATTATATTCTGGAAAGGATAATGGAGGAAAGTGGAGGTTTTTCGCGGGGGTTGGAGGTTGGAGGGGTGCTGGGGCATTAGGGCAGCACAAATGGTTTGCAAAGCAAACAATTCTCCATCCATCACAATTTGTTTTTCCAATGAATGGTCCGTTGTTGTTTTAGCTTCTGGTGGAGATACGGAGATGCGTATTCCATGTCGTTTTTTGAACGGAGGTCGGAGCCGGGAAATTTGAGGAAATTGTTATGGCGGCTCGTTGTTGCCTGGCGGCTGTTATAGTGAGAATTTTAGCATTTATAAACTGATTTTAGTGTGTGTGTGATTGGGAGGTGGGTGGGTTGGTTCGGACTAGTTCGCCTGAAACTGAATCCTATTCGTCATGCAATTTTGTGCAATGCATTTGCACGGCCAGAAATTTGTCAGTCAACTGCATTGGCAGCCACAAAATCATCAGTAACCTCGCTGCCAGATGGCCAAATGGCATTGCCCTGAAAATTCCAAGCCCCCGCACATGAATGGCAATTAGTGGAGCGTCTCTCCGTCACTTTCCATCACGAGCCATCCCATCCCTACTTTCCATATGCCATCATATCTACCCATCTAGATATGTGGGGGCATGGTGTTTGGGTATATGTTTCATTCGATACCAGATTGGTTAATGGGCAATCAATAAATTCCAATTTCTCACAATTTTACTGCAATATCCACAAACGGTGCAGCAGTTTTATCCACAATTTATATCGCAGTCATCTCATCTGTTACACAAGTGCTACCCAGGATGTGGCTGTGTACTTTGGCTTTGCCTTGCCATCGTTGGTTTGGTCCATTGCTTGTTATAGCCAAGATTTGCATGCAGCTCACACACACACACACACATACACTCACTACCGATAGATTCTGGCAAAAATTCCCTCTTAGCTGTCGGATGTGTGTGAGTATGTGTGCAATTGCAGGAGCATCACGTAAGCTGCATTTAAGGGCATATACATTACATACGGATACGCTCCATTAATATGTAACCCTTGCCAGCCTTCCAGCCTGCAAGCCAGCCTGCCTACTCCTTCTTCTCAGGCACATAGCACTAAATTGTGGGCCTCAACCTCCGCCTCCGCCTCCTCCGAATTCAGGCAGGCGGAGGAGCATGTGCAGCCCATATATCTGATTACATGACGAAAGGATATTCCATCGCCCGGTTTAAAGGTGATTTTTGATTGCTAAAGCGGTTTTAGGGCTTCCACGCGTGGGTAATCCAGCCAATAATATTTATCCTCAATAATCTATAATATTTTTAGTTAATTAAAAGCATCAAAATCGTCGGCCATATTAAATTCTCTTGAAGCCCCGTTGACTTCATCAAGTGGCTATAAGACGCAGGTGCTTGAGTCCTTTTCCGTTAATGTACTTGGCCATCCCGGCGAGAAATGGTTACAGGTCATAAAGTAAACTGCAGATTATCCACTTGCCCAGCTGCTACCTAAGCCAATGACACGTGTTAAGCGCCGAGTTGACCTGATGTTGCCAATCTGCTGTCCAACTGGCCAACTATAGTCGACTGGCGGACCGCCCTCCGCCTCGGCACCACCCATAAACGTTGCCATCGAAATATTATTTCGAAACGATATTGGGCAAGCGATAAGCATAATTGCAGCAATAAAAGTTTTCAACTTTTGTACGACACACACTGCCATTGCAACTGCCGCAGCAACTGCAACTGCAACAGCTGCTGTTGCAAAAATAAAAATAAAAAAAATCGGTAGAGAAGGGGAACAAACATCTTGAAGTCGTATGCCGAGATTCAAATATCCTTTTTGAATGGGAATTTAAAATTGTTTGGAATTTACAGGGAAACCTATTGATACTCTGAAAAGGGTTCTTTAATCAGAATGATTTTTAGATTGGAATTTAAAAAAATAATATCCTAGTATCTCCCAGAAAATTCTACAGTATTTTTCTACATTACTGAGAGCAAGTATAGCTGATAATGGAGATCCATATTAAAGGAGTAGGACTCCACTGTAGGGCACAAAAAGGCTCCAGGAGCAGGCGGAAAAGCATGTCAGACAAGCTCACGCTTACGCGCAATTGCCAGGACTAAAACAGCGTTACACACACACCCATACAGACACACAAACACACCAATACACAGTCACAGACACACCAATTCGCAACCAAACGAACGCTTAACAATGCAAACTTTATGCGTTGCCTGAGGAAAGAATGGGGTTTGCATGGATGCCTGTTTTGTAGCTCCCACATCCCCACACTGTTACTCCCACTCCTCACACACATATACGTCAGGATATGGCCTGGGCGTGTGTTGGTAAGACGCAGCTGCGTATGCAACGATTTTTTAACATTGCATTTACCTTTGATTCTATCTAGCTAGTAGCTACTTGTTATTCCGCTTTCTTTGCAGCTTTTTACTTTTTTACTTAACATTTTTCGGGTTGGATTGGGTCGGATTTCTGCTGCTCAACAATTGTTATTGAAATTGTTTTGGCAATTTTTTGGCCAACCATAAAATTTTGTTTGCCAAGGATACTTACTTGTGCCACCGAATGAGAAATCGCCTGAGCAGCAGACGATGAGCGAGAGAGAGATAGGGTAAGACAGAGAGAAAGAAAATGGACATTTTTGAGAAGGGTTAGTAGCACATTGCAAAACATAATGGTCCATAGAAATGGCAAATAAAAACGGATCTTAGCACAGAGTCTAAATTCAAAGCGAAATTGGTTAAAAATCCTTTTGTGGAGCATGTAAAAGACACCAAAGAGAGAAAGGCAGTTAGTTAAATGTCCTCCAGGGACCAGGGACATGTCGATGTGATACTTACGTGTCTCACCAGTGGTACAAGTCGCCGGCGCCGATGGCGGTCCACGTCCGATATTGTTCACGGCTATCACGTAGAACTCGTACTCCGTGTAGGGACTCAGTGCCCGGACCACATAGTACATGGTGATGATTCCGCTAATCTCGCTGAAGGCCTGGTTGGCGTTCTTCGGCTTGTACTGGATCACATAGTATTGCAAGTCCTCGGGACCCTTGTACGACCACTCCAGACGCACCGAAGTGGCGGTCACCTCGGATATTTGCACATCAGTGGGTGCGGTGGGCAGAGCTGTAGGTGGAATTCGAGTGGAAAAGTATATCAATTAAGTTATTGTCTCAATGGCTCATAGATTGTGTACTTACATTGCACTTTAACCACCGAAACAAAGTCAATTTGGCCCAGAGTTGAGGCAGCAATGCAAGTGTAGTTGGCGCTCTCCTGAATATTAATCAGTTGCAGGACATTACGGCCGATTGGCATCTCATTCTCGGGTGTTAGATCCTCGGAGCCTGAAATGATAATGCGACAATAATTATAGATTACGAGGACGGACGAGGTCCTTGGGATGTCTCTTACCCTTCATCCACTTGACATGCGGCATGGGGGAGCCGACGGCGATGCAGGATAGATTCAGATTGGAGCCCAGCATCACCTCATTGATGGGCTCTGGTGGGCGGGAAAAGGTAGGCGGCACACGACGGACTTTCACATACAAGTTGGTGGCCTTCGAGTGCTCCGTTCCCATGCTGTTTTCGGCCACACATTCATATTTGCCCTGATCCTCCTCCCGGCTGTTTTCGATTTGCAGAAATCCTGAAAGGTAAGAGGTTAGATATTGTTGAGAATGCTTATTGATTTGCAATTTGAAGAGGTAGTTGCATCTGCTTATTACCTAAAGGGTCTGTGTTCCCCCAGATTAGTCTTTTAACCAAAATAACAGGTAATATAACCCTTTCAGGGCTGTGTCGCCTACCTGCTCTACTATATAAATAACAAATCCTGCAGGACACTATTCAGTTGATTTTTAGCTCTGTCCTAAACACATCACAAAATGTTCCTTCTGATTTTGTTAACAAGTTTTATATATTTTGTGGTTGGCACCACTTATGTAACCACAAACAATGACGCTGAAATGCCAATTTATCAGAAACGCCCGCAGAGTGAACAAATGGAGATGATTGATATCCTGGACTTGGGTGACAGGCCCAAGAGGCAACTAAACCCAAAGCTGGACAACTCGGCTTCCAAATTCCTGCTGGAAATCTACAACGAGATCAACGAGGGCCAGGAACCCAAGGAGGTTCTTCACCAGCGGCACAGGCGTTCACTGGACGACGACATACTGATATCCAAGGAAGACCGTGAGGAGATAGCCAACTGCAATAGCATCCTGACCTTCTCGAGTCGCATCAAGCCCGAGGAGGAGAATAACGAACTGGATCTGCACATAACCTTCAACACAAACGATGTGCCCATGGACTTGACTCTGGTTCAGGCCATGCTGCGGGTTTACAAGCAGCCCAGTTTAGTCCAAAGAAGGGAGAACTTCACGGTATCGATTTACAAAAGGCTGGGCGATCGCCAGGACTTCTCGCACCGCATACTGGGCTCCGTGAACACTACGTCCAGTTACCGCGGATGGCTGGAATTCAATTTGACGCCAGTCCTGCAGACGTGGCTGCTCAGCAAGAATTTCCTAAAACGAAACGAGCTACGGATTTCAATTGGCGACTCCCAGCTGAGCACCTTTGCCGCTGGCCTGGTGGCTCCCCAGGCGAGCCGCTCCAGTCTGGAGCCATTCATTGTGGGCTACTTCAACGGACCCGAGCTTCTGGTTAAAATTCAAAAGCTTCGCTTCAAGAGGGACCTGCAAAAGCGCCGGGCCAACATCCAACCAGGCCACCCAGCAGTCCATCCCCCACCGCCCGTGGATTTGTACAAGCCGCCACAGTCCTGCGAGCGATTAAACTTCACCGTCGACTTCAAGGAGCTGCAGATGCACAACTGGGTGATAGCCCCCAAAAAGTTCGAGGCTTACTTCTGCGGCGGCGGTTGCAACTTCCCGCTGGGCACCAAAATGAATGCCACCAACCATGCCATCGTCCAGACCCTGATGCACCTGAAGCAGCCCCACCTGCCCAAGCCGTGCTGTGTACCGACGGTCTTGGGGGCCATCACCATTCTGCGATACCTCAACGAAGACATAATCGACCTAACCAAATACCAGAAGTCAGTGGCCAAAGAGTGTGGATGTCATTGATGGGAAAATTCAATTAAAACTAGCAGCTTTAAATGTATATATTAGGGGAATTATAAGCATAGATTGTAGAAACTAATATTTAAGTTTAAATAAAACCAATACTTAGCCAAAATATTTATGAGTTTCAAATCTTTCCTCTTGGGTTAAGTCCGGGATATAGCTTTAAGAGACAAAACCTATTTTTTATACACCTGACTCATTTGAATTTCGTGGTTTATAAACTTTACTTAACTCTTCTTGTTGGATCCTTTTATGATGCCGCTGGCTTAGGAGGGCATGGGTTTAACCATAACAGAGTCGTAAGATCTTAGATTTATCAATAAATTTGAAAGTCAAATGATGTTTGTTTATCTCGCATCACTTTAATAGGCAACCCACATTATCCTCATTGCCCATAAAAATGTTCTCAATTCACCTTCACCTTTTATGTGCGGATGCGGAATCCAACCACTCCACTTCCAGGACGATGGCGGCGAAGCAACACATGGAAAATTAACACTTTTTATATGATTTTAAAAGCCATATAAATTTTACGACAAGTCTGTTGCCCCAAAATGTTGCAGTCTCTCGGCGGAGCCACATACGCATCTATTAAATATCGAGTCGAGTCGTGGCTCGCTTTTCCGGCATATTACGCTAATGTGTGAGTGAAGGGAAGGTCCTTTCGATGTGTGGTGGTGTGGGGGCCATAAACTGACTTCACGTTGTCATTATGTTTATATGACTAATAAACAATACATGAGACAGCGATGAGTAGACAATATGGAGTTTACGTAAACAAAACACACTTCAGCCCAGCCCCATAACCCCCATTTTTTTCCGGCTTGAGCCCTAAAGCCTTTAAAGCAACAGTTCAGGCTCACAATTTGTTTAATAGCCTTTGGCGCCTGGGGTTTACGTGGAAACCATAAAGCCATAACGCGAATATGTATGGAAATGCACTTTTTAATTAGCCTATAATTGATTTTTCAAATATTATGCACGGCGATGGCCACGATTGGTTTGGTTCGGTTTGGTATTAAAATTAAATGCAATCATTTATGTTGGAAATTGGTTTCATATTTTTGGTTGCAAAATTATTTGATCATTTTTAATGAAGCTTGAGAGACTCGTTAACAGAGTCTGCATTTCTAAGCGTTTCTGCCCCCTGACTGACTGACTCACTGAGAGTGTGTGTGTCCGAAATTAATCAGATTCAGTTCGATATTCAATTTACTCTCTCATACAATTAATCAAAAACCCCAATTCAATATGTACGCACACAAATATTTAAGGATGCCGATGCTGGTCGGCATGGACATAGGTAAGCAAATTTAAAATCTGCATGAAATATGACAATTAATTTGCGAAACAAGAGTTTTTCATATGCAATATTATCGTTTAATTATTTATTGCCCCGTTTTGTGCATATAAAAGCAATGAATATTGATCAGGCTTAAGCGGAAAGCTTTAATTACAAACTTTTATTCCGTTTAAAGTGTTTCAAGATATTTAAAACGCAGTATTTATGGAAACCCCACAAAATGTCATCATATAATCAACTTTTGATAAAGGAAATTGATTCTTGACAAGTGTTTTTTCAAATTATGTAATCTTATGTTGACAACTCAGTTTTTAAATGGCTTTCTATATTTCCTCCTAACTTTGAATATAATACAGGTAAATATTAATATTCAGGATCATAGACATTGCTAGTCTTTTTTTTAAAAAGTCAATAAATAGAACAATTTTAAATGTGGAAAAAATAGCTTTCTGGTCTATAGAAACCATGTTTATTGTATTTATTTACCTATACATAAAAAAGCGCCAGGGAAGGATAAATAAAAAACAAAGCCACTAAAAAATGATGTATGCTGGGACCAATCCCCCACGCGGTTTTTTAGTGCATAGCCATTTACAAGCTATGGATGTAGGTTTTGGGGATTGTTCTGGGCAAAGGGAGCCGTGGCTTTGGGCTTTTATTTCCAGTGCTACCGCCACTCACCTACAACATGCATCAAAGTTGATTGTTGGGAAATTTATTGCATACTATTCGGCCTGGATTGCTGAACATTTATTACGCTTGTTGCACTTCCTGTGCAGCCGCCAGCCTGCCATCTAGCCGGTCTGGCCTATTGTTTAGGAATCGCTCAGCCATTCATACAACCATTAAATGTTGAAACAGTTTTAAATAATCGCCAGCCTTCATTTTGGCGGGCTCAGTTCACCGAATCAACTTTTGTGCATTTAAAACATTCATTCATCACCGAATTATTCAAGTTAAAGCGCCGAAAAATAGCCAAAAAGACACCAACCAGCCAGCGAGACTGTAAAAATGTTGATTAAAATTTATAAAGGTGAGTTTCATTAAAACTCTCGGGCAGCCTTCTGCCGAAAAACATTAACATAAGCCACCACACACCACTATACAAACACAGGGAGAAAGGGCTAACAGCAAGCACTTTGCGTGCGGCTTGGCTGTAGCAATAAAAATTAAGCTATCATACATCTGGGCGCTCGTCTCCGGCTCAAATGTAAGTGATTCTACGTGTGCCCGTCTGCCAGGCTATACCCGGGCCGTGCCTGTGTATGCGTGTGTTACTCTTATGAAAATTAAAAATTCTTTCAAGCGCCATAAAAAAGAAATATAAACAAATGGACAGACTAGCAGAGGCGAACTCCTGCCCGTAAACAGGTGAGAGTTTCAAGGAAACGGGTTGAATTTTTCTTAAATATTTAAATCTTGAAGTTTTTATTCAAGAAACATTATAATAAGTATTTAGTAGAGGTCCTTAATTTCCCTATTTCATGGCCATAAGCTGCCTTTGATCAGAGGCTCGTCCTATTTGTGGCAAGACAATTGCCATGCCATGTGGGTTAGTTTGGACGTGGCGCATATGTGGCATGCCACACAGCTGCACTTCCGCTAGCGCAGTCATTTTCATATTCAGCAACTTCCGTTGCACACACAGCCCAAGCAGTCCTGGGCTGGAACTTTCGTTTCGTGTGGCGTTGCCAAGGATTCCTGTGACGGCTTCAGCGACAACTTGAACCGCTTTTGGCTTGGCTTGGCTGCACGCCCAAATGGGATTATTAATTTAATTATGCTTTAATTTAAGTAGTCGTCGGTGCCGTTGTCGTTGTCGTCTTTACAAAGTGACATTTATGGGCCGTCCTCCACACGCTCCCGGCTCCTTGTTCAGCCACATAAAAGTGTGCAAAGTTTCAATTTTGGTAATGCAAGTGACGACGACTTATCGTCAAAACCGAAACCCAAAGAAACTTAACTGACCCGCTTGCGAGGACGACCGGGCGGCGGCATGGCATGGCTGGGAGGACCTTGAGCCCCCCGTTGGGAAAAAGCCGTTCTAGTCATGCACATTTTGGCAATTACTGTCTCATTTTCAACAAAAGTGACTGTCAACTCTTTCGGCGAGTGCGAGACGGCGAAGGAGTGACAAGGAGGAGCTCATAATTTAAGCATTAAACTTTTCTCAAAATGCTTTCAAGTTGACTTGGCTTAACTACAGTTTTACGGCTCAAGTAAATAATTGCGTGCAGAGCCCCTGCCACACCATCTACCCACCCGACGACCCACTCTCTCTCTCCGCCTCACAGGTTGGTCACGTCAAGTGGCAACGCGATTGTAATGATGGAGCCGAGCAATTAAAGAGTTGGAGTCCAGGTCGCGGGGTCGCCGGCACACAGCTGCTGCTTCAATTTGGGAGAGCAGGGGGCAGGATGGGCGGTTGGGAGGCAGAAAGTGCTGCCACGTGTAAGTTTCGAACAAAGGAAGGCATAAAAATGTCATATAAAAAATAAGACGATGTTACAAGCAAGCTGGGCTTCCTAGTCGTTTTGTATTTTCAAGCCAAGCTGTGTGTTCCAAGTTGTTTTTAAGTTTTCCACATAAAGGTTAACCTGCTGAGTTATATGGCCTCTATTCGTGGGTTTATGTTCCGGCAATCCACCGAGCAATCCGACTCAATATTCAGCTAGTTAAATCTTGAGTATCCACTTGAGAAGAGTTGTGTTTAATTTAAACTGGGATTTTATTATGATGTTTTGCTTATACTGCCCAGGCCTCTTACTCTTTCTCTTAATAGAAAATATCCTTGTTAACCATGGGCTTAATTTTTGAGTTTATTACATAATTGCTAGGGACATTAGTGTGCTACTTTTTGTCAACAAAGTTTTGTGCTCTTTGAACTTTAAGCGATTCTATAAAACTGGGAGGGAAAATTGAAATAAAATTTTGTGCTGCACCTGCTCAGACAATGGGAGCCATTAGCTCCGTCAATTGCTCCCCGATAGACCCTTGGCTGACACTTCAATTCAGTTGAGTTCATCTGCCCGGCACTCACACACCGTCGCACACACAAGCCATTAAGACAATTGGCTCAGGCGAAACCAATTTCTGATAAGCCGCTTTTGCTTAAAAGCCAAATTATGATATTTGAGGAAGCCCAAAGGTTTTTCTTCCTACTCCTTTCGTTTTATACTTTTTTCCCCCCATTTTGCCAATAAGAGTGTCGACCCAGTGAAAGTAATTTCCCCAGACGCAATGCCAGAACCTTTCTAGAGAAAAAAAAAACCAACCATGGTCACTACTCCAAAGGCTTTTTACTCCCTCTGTTATGCTTTTTATTGAACAAAGGCCCAAAGGGACTATTTGGCGAAATAAAAATAAAGGTATAATACTCAATATTATTGTCGCTGGTCGTTACCCAACCCGGTGGTCGGTAGTAGCTAGTCATTCTATGGCAAGTCAACCCTTGGATCGTCGCGGCTCAAAGGACTAAATTAACCTCCAACTGCCGAAGAGTCCTTCAAAGGCTCCATGAAGTAATTTTAAATAAATTATTTAGAAATGTATTTGTGCATTCAAGTGCGACCTCTGTCATTTGCCTGCGTCGTGAACTGCTGGGGACAAACGTTGATGCCCCGAATGGAGTAAACTAAATCAAAAAGGGTCGAATATAATTTCAGGGAGTTCGAACATAGAGTCCATAATTTGAGTAATTTTAAAGTAAATATTGGACTTCACAAACTTCATCAAA